GTTCGATGATAGACGATCTACTCCTAAGGAAACCCGAACGTACTGGTCCCTAAACGAATAGTATAATAATAGTAATATATATATATATATATATATACTAATGCACAAAAGAAATGCAACACTCAGCTTTAATGGATGTAATCAAGTATTTTAAAAATAGATATCAAACAAAAATACAGATAAAAGAAACATGATATGTTTTTAGTATGAAATGTGACACTGTCAAAAATAAAACCATTACAAAATCACTATCAGGTATCATCTTCTTGAGCATAAATACAATCCTGGCAGAATTGATGCAAAGACCCAATTAGCAACTGTATACTCTGCTATGCACTTTTCTTGTACAGCTAACATTGCTTTTTTAAAGTCATATCATTTTAATCTTAGCACTGTGTAGTCTTGCATTATCTTACGGGAAAATCAGTACTTTCAGATCAACTTGTAGATAAAAGTGACTGTCCTAGGCTGGTGTGATGACCCTCTTCCTTCCAGGATATGGTATGTCCCTCACAGAGCTAGTTTCTCTGGACTAGCCTGCTGATTATTGAAGCAGAAAATCTCATTCTTTGGGCAACTTCTCTCACAGACAGGCCACTGATAGCAACCAGGCAATCTTTATTACTCAAGCGGGACATAGTTGTATCTTTTGCTGGTCTTTCATTAATTATAATTTTGTCTTTTTGAATGACAATTGTAACTCAACTCAAATATCTAACACTGAGCACGTGGTGTTTTTATGAAATTACAGGCCTTGAACTTAGTATTTTGTTATTCCAAGGAACCATACTTTTCTAACAATCAACCTATGTATCTGTTTACTATTTAAGCTACTTAAGTAAAACTAAGACTGTTGAATTTTCATGGTGCTTCAGTATATAAGAACACTTTATTGGAAGAAATTAATACATTTTTAGATTAACTATGGATCACCACACTTGCTACTTTTGTGTCAGCATATTAAATGAAACTAACTTCAACAATTAATCATACAATTAGAGTTCATCAATTGAAAAGTACACAGATACCATGCAACTACTAAAAACATGTTATGAATACTGTATTAGCATACAAAATAGGTGGGTGGAGTGATTTTTATGGTAAAATTGTCTATAATGCAACCTCATTTTTAGCAGAATCGTAAGTCCTGGACCTTTGTTATTACACTGTATTGAAAGAGGGCTGTAATTTTTACATGAGGGTACAAATACTACATATTTATAGTAGGATAAGAAAATTCACTACTCAGGTGTTTAATTTATGTAACAAAATAATTGTGTAACAAACTTACATGCAAAGAGATTTATTCTAAAGAAAACAATGAAGGGACTTCAACTAATGAGCTATTTTAATGTTGTTTTTTCTAAATCTTTTCCAGGACTTGAAATTACCTAAGCTATTTATCAAAATAAGATGAAATATTTAGTCACCATCAGTCCAAAACAAAATGTTTGTAGATAGAATGAAAATGACTATCTACCAATAACTTTTAAAGCAAAATAAAAATCTAAGGAATAACATTTACATTTCAAATGAATACCAACTTTCAGAATTGTCTAAAATTAATACTCTACTATTTTATTTGAGTTATTTAGATGTTGCTTTTCAGTCAAAAAAAATATTAAATTAACATTAATTTTGAACGTTCTTGTATAGTTCAGATGTACTTACGTTCGCCCATTTTGCAAGTGCTTCTGGATTAACATCCCAAGGGATCTTAACACATATAGGATTGTTGCTAATCCGGTCAAAATTAGGATTACTGGTAGCAGCACAGTAAAAGAACTCTCTCCACAATAACTGTCCATGTAGTGATAAGGGAGGATTGGCTTTTTTAATCTATTCATCAAGATTATGCAGAAAAAGTATATCAGATAAGTCATACATGAATTTTTAACAAACATCTACATGGTATCATACATCATTAATAAAGATATTTCTCCAATTTTCAAACAGCTGTGAAGTAGATATATTGCATAAAACTAAATTTCAAATATTTATAAAACTATCATAATTTTCTCAAAATTAAATATTATTCTTTAATAGATTTTGTAATGGCTTTTATTGAATTATGAACTATGGTTTTAAATAGAAAACTACAAACAATGCCCATCCTAATGGTACTAACTGGGAGGTTTGTGATGATTACACTGAAAATTGTATTTACAAAAAACAAATTTACTATTTTAAATCTTTAACTATACCACTTCAGGATTGGATTTAACCCTGTATTAAATTTAACAGTGCGAACTACTCACCCTTTTGTATAGGTCAGCTAACTGCTGGTAGAAAAGTCTTGCTGACAAGCAACCAAACCGCAAATATGGACTTAAACCTGTTTGACTGGGCAGTAATGACTGTGGAGTCATTTTTGGTCGTCCAAAACTTGCGATCCATGCCTGTAGATAACAGGAAAGGGAAACCATTAAACACACATACACAAACATAAAATTCATTACAAATATCAGATACAAATAATAACTCCTTATGGTTGCACCTTCCATGTCTGATTATCCTAAAACTATAGCATATCAGACCAGCTGTTTGATAACTATTAAATACTACAAATGCAAAGTTATTATTAAAAATGGAGTAAAAGCAAATAAGCATTTATTGACAGAGTGTGATCCTGTATATTTTTTCCTATATGCTTTAGTTCTGGGAGTAATCATAATAACTGCAGTTCCAAACTACTAAAAATCTTATAATACAACAATATTCTTTGAATCTAAAGTTCTACACATTTTGATTAATCAGATATGAAGAAAGCATTTTTTTCTTAAACAACACATTCCATTGTTTCAGTGTATCAGATGATTCAAGAGTGGGAAAAAAAAAACGTACATATGTGAGTAAATTTACCTTTCTTTCTAAGTGCCTTTCAAGACGAGCCAAAGCTTCTGTTTCTCCACCTTGCCATACTGCTGGTTTTAATGTCTCTGTGTCAAAACCTATCATACAAACCAATTCTTAGGAGTTAAACATCGTATTTACTTTATCAATGATCTCACTAAAATATACACTTCACACAAGTTTTTATCATTTGTACATAGTAAAACTTTTGTCTATTTTGTTCACGTTTCACCAGATTTACCTAGCATCATCAGGTGGGATAAAAGATTGTACACAAGAATCCTTTAGTGATCCAAATTTAAGTTAAACTTTGAAAACCATTGAAAACATGGTGATAGACAAGTTAAAGATCATAGGTGTTTAATAATTGTTATCATAAAATTCAATTTAGGATTCCAATGTAACTGACATTTTCTTTTCTAATGATTCTACTTACACATTTCAAAGTGATATTCTCTCTGTTTCAAAGGTATAGTTTTCATTACATGCAACTTTTTAAAACCTACCTAACTCATCCAAAGTAGGAACACCATATTTTTCATCATGGTCATCTGAGATGGATGAGAAGGCTCTGCCCAGTGTTTCTGCTGTGACTGGTGGCTTTGGTCCTGGAGGTGGTTCCATTGATGCAACAATATTTTGAAATTCTTTGTATGTGACAGGAGCATTTCCTCCATTCTTTTCTATGATCCTATTTAGAAATGATTAATAGCCCAACATTAGAAAGTAAAAGAGCATGAGACATTTGCTAAAAAGAACTGTTGCTTTTTGGTGGCCAAAAATTTATCTCCTTGGTCATTTGGTGATACATTTTATGAATTACCAAATTCAACAGTTTCATTGAGGTTGAAAGAAAAACGAATGAAATGTCTTTCTCTAGTTAAACTACATTTTGTTATTCAATTTTAATTCAGAACTTTAAATAATAATAATAATACTTAAAAAAGTAGTGCTAGATCTTACATAGTTTAATTTTATGTCAACATTTTTAACATACTTATTATTATGTACGTGTTATACCAATACTGTTCTTAAGAAATAGTTATATCATCATTTGAAACACTATGTTTCAAGGCAGTCTGTGTGTTGTTTACCAGTTGTTTTATAAATGTATCTCTAACTTGCAACAGTATTCTGTTTAGGTTGTATAGGGAAAGTAGCCTAAAACATAATCCACTAAACACAGTTATAACTGGTGATCTTTTCCTATCATCATCTGTACTCTTGGTTAACAATTACTAGTTTCATCCAGGTTTTTAACAGCAAAAGTTATATCTTTCTGTAGAAGGTGAAATGATGACATTGCTAGACATTCAGGTGTACAAAATAATTCTAAATAATCAACAGAAAGAAAAAGAATACCCTTTAGAACTTACTTTTCAAGCTTGTATAAAGTGTGAGATGTGCGACAAATGACCTTGATCCCCAACTCTTGAGCCATTGTTGTAATACTATGGTCTCTCACTCGTCCATAAGGCTCTGGATCTTCCTCAAATGTAAGGTGAGTGACATTCCATTCCTAATTTGTTTAATCCACTCATTAATAAGAAACATTTGCAGAGAAAATATGTTTATGATTTATCTTTCCATTTAGTTCATTCACTCCCCTAGATTTAACATCATCACAATGTACTATTACATCCATTGATGTCAGTACACTTAACGTTGTGTAAATGATCATGATTTAAAATTATTACCATTTACTGCTCTCTTCATTTATGCAGTTTGCTTAGTAACAAAAAAAACAACAACAAAGTCTGTGGATTCTTTCAAAGAGGGATTGAGGATGTGCACATAATATTACATAAAGAAGAAATAAAATTGTCCAAGTAAGAAAGATAGCTCTAGGATTTGCGATTTTGACTGAATATGATGATTTTGAAAATACAGATTATTCTTAGGATGAAATCCAAGTAGCAAATGCTGGGTGCGAGGCAAGAAGAAGTAGCATTATCTAAATGTTTTAAAATTTCTCTGTAGAAATAGAATTATAGGGTTTACACAAATAAATGTATTTAGTTAAGGAATATTATCACTAGTTCATACAAACTAGCATTGGTAAATATTTTTCTCTGACTAAGTTGGTGACACTGGCTGAAACTGGTCAGGTTAATATTTTCTAAGCTATCAGTGAACATTGCAGTATTTCTGATATATACTTGAACAGGACTCCACACTTGAAAAAATATAATAATAATTGGAATTCTCATTAAAATCTACTATACTATTTAGTGAGACCACATGTACACACACACATATATATTCAAACACTTTCTTATATTACATTTAAGCTTTTTTTGCATTATGCTAAATTTTGCAGCTAGAATAATTTATATATAGCAGTTTCTTTATTGACTTCTTTTTTAGGAAATTACAATTTTGTAGCTTGTTTACTTTAAATGTGACCAAAATACCAGGAACAAAGATTTTAGAATGCTAAGGTACCTTAATGAGAAGCTGATAAAATTGGAGGACAAAAATAGAAAACATACTTTGAAAAGCCTAGGAAATACATCAGCTGGCTGACCCCGAATAACAAAGAGCCGAGAGTTAAGTTTCCGTAAGCTAGCATCCAAATCTTCTAAACACTGTAACAAGAACCTGAAATAAAGAATTTGTATATAAAATCTACTCATAGGTGAACAAAAGATCATATATACTGTTGTATGTTACATATAAATAAATATAATCCTGATGTACAAGTAGTTTATTGGGTAAGGATGTTCTAGTATACCAACAATAAGTGTCTTTTTTTTTTTATCACAGTTCATCTTCCCAAACAGAGGATGAGTGCCATTAAAAATTTGATATGGTCCAGTACATTACAAAACAATAACAAGATATGGAAATGCAATTCCAATTACTTTTGTACATGTAAAGTCAACAGTAAATTTTGCATTAACACAGCAAGTACAGTGAAAATGACATGACATGATTTGGAGTAGCTCTCTCTGGAGTACAGAATCAATAGCTGCAGGAACATGCTGCATATTAATATAATCATTAGTGCAAAGTTTCACTGTTCCACACAGGAGTTAGCTTGTTGAAACTTGCACAGTACATGCAAAAAAACATGGAAATGGCCTAAAATTTACCTCAAGAAAGATGCAAGTGCCTTAAGTGTCACATCTTTCTCTATATGACTATGACAGGGACTAAGTGTTGTTCATTACTTTGCAATTGAGACTAAATCAGTTTGTGGACTACTAGAACCATTGATGGTAAAACACTCCAGGTTAACATAACCACAGCCATATTTTTGGAATTAGTTATTATAAAATACATTATGAAATATCTAAGCTAACTCTAATGAAGTATACTAACTTACATTTAAGAGGCATTTCAGGATTACAATTTACTATACTATCATTTTCTCCATAAACAGTATCCAGCAGAAACCCTACAACTAATGCTTAGTGTGCTATGTTGATGTTGCACTGTTTTACTAAACCAGGCTCAAAAATTTACATCACACTAAAATGCTCAACAATCACTTTTCGCAGTAGGCTGTTTAAGTAGCTCAGAGCTTTGGCTCTGAGTGAAACCAACAGTGCAGCACAATTACCTTTTTAAGTCCATGAAATAATTTAAATTGATGTATTAACTTAAACTCTTCTCGTCACTGGGGACGGGTACTTTTGTTTGTCAGGCTATATTATATAACAAACAATAAGAGAAAACATCTCGATAATTAACAATAGACATAGCATAAGTAGTCATAGAAATTAGCTAAAAACTCAAGTTATTTTCGTTCAAACATTAAAAAGGGTTTGAGAACTATAGTTATTCACACGTTTTGCGTAGATTTTTCCAAGCGAGATTCAGATATAATGTTTTCATAATCTTGCACATTTGTTAGCAAGTGTCTTCCTACCTTCAAGTTCGTAAACTTTGTAAATGATCATGTCACTTAAAAATACTTTGGTAATGTATCTCGACACGCCTTAAAAATTGTTTTGTGTTCACTTCTGGTTTCTTAGATATCCACATTATGTATATATATTTCCTGCATGGTCAAATTAACCTTGTCAGCATCTTTATTCTAGAACGAACAAAAACATGAAAGACTCGAAAAGGAAATCTATCACGATAACGTGAAAGATATTTAACACAACGACACACGAACCCACTGTCATTCACTGATTACGTGAGTAGTTATTTCAACAGCTATACCACAACATAATCTTTATATGTGTAGAATACACTCCGATTTCCTCTTATCTGAACATTAGGCAGGTTCAGTTTGTCCTATATTCTTAAAGAATTATTACTACAATTGCTTTTAGAACATTATTTTATACCATAAACAAAATTAAAACCTTTATATGATAGCAACAAACATGCAGTGTTATAAATTCATCTTAAATATATTCATATGTGGTAGTAAACTATCAAAGAATGTCATAAAAGTTTACTGAAATTCGTGACTTAAACCACCAAACCTTGGACAAAAGAAAAAATCAAGCACAGTATTCAACTGTATAAAAAAGCAACTTGGAAAAACAAAAGTCAAAAGTTATAATACAAAATAAACACAACTACACGCCTGACGAAGAAAAGAAAACCCCAGAGCACAACTCCAAACTTAAGATTTTTACCTCATGAGTCCGAGACAAGCTAAGTAAGATGAACTATAGTGTGCGAGTTTGATAAAATGTGATTATCGTGAATTTGTAGTTAAATTTTCAAAGGCTAAATTTTAAATGTATGACTTCTACCTATGAATAATAATAATAATACATTTTCGAAGTTACCTTTTGTAAAACAAATTCTATCACTTTTTTTTCCACAGCGGAATTAAACAACACATGTACTATTAGACAGCTACGAGACTAGCCGATGGGCATATTTTCATGGGTAATTAAATAATTTATCAGAATACGTAAATTTATTAGCAGCTTCACAATTAATATACTGAATTATTTGTTCTAAAACCTTATGAAAATCCTATTAAATGTGTTATCCCGTTCAAAAAACAGAAATAGAAATGCTCTTCATTTTGTATACTTGTACGGCACATGTACGCGCACGTGAACACAGTTTGATCTGGGGTTCAGCTGGGGACGTCGCTCGGATAACGTAGTTTGAATTTTTGGCTCGTTACGAACTCACAGAATTATTGCTATGACAACTTTATACTCTCAGCAGAACCTACGTCATTGCACCCGGGATGACGGAAACATTTTCCTCACTCTATGTTTCACACAGTTCTTAGTAGGCGAAAACAAAATGTTCTGAATAAAATGTTGGGAAATGCATGTGGAGAATAATAACAATATGAATTAACAGATGTATTAACATGCAATGCTTTGTTGCTTAGAGAGCAAAAATAACTCAAAACATGAAACTGTATAAAGATTATAGCAAAATATTTTTAACCTATTGTTAAAGAAATATATATATATATAATTTAATTTTAATTCAAGAATTTCACATAGTAAAACATTGCTTAAAATCACTTTACAGTTTTTGATAAAGCAATGACTTTGCTTTAGCAAATCTGACTGCATGGTTATAAACCAACCTTCTCCAATTTTACCTTGAAAGTACGTTTGAGATATTTTGAACATAAAGTAATGCTGGTAATAAAGTCGAACTAGCTGTGATAAGCTTAAATTTGCAAGTAAGAGTTAAATAAGACTTAATTGCAAAGTCGGGAATGTCTGAAGTAGAAGGTAAATGTAAATATGCACACAGGCGTCAGAACCGGGTGTGTTGTAGCAATTTTTTTACATATTTAGCAACTGTAAGTCATATTACTATAAAATCTGCATGCCTAGCCAAGCACACCCACTTTGCAACACCTTCCTACACAACTGACATATTAAATCAAATTAATCATTTCATGCATTTAAAGGAAAACTGATAAATAAAATGATTTAAATAGCTATGAAACAGCAGTCACATATATATATATATATATATG